CTGGAGACGGGCGCGGCGTCTCCGAGAGCCACCTGCCCGCGCGGGGAGGGCTGCCCCGCCCCGCCCGCGGGGCGAGGGGCCTTCTGAGAGGGCTGCGGGGGCTTCTCGGGAGGGCCCGGGCGCTTCTTGTCACCCGCTCCCGTAGAACCACGGCGGCCTCTGGCCCAAACCCCCGACGTCATGATTTTTGTTTCCCCCCCCACAGCTCTGATGTAGTATTGAATCCGCATCCCCTCAAGGGGGCTTTGACGGCACCCATCGTCAAGGCCAGAATGACGCTGTGTGTGTGTGTGTGTGCATCCCAACGAGGTCCAACCGACCCCCGACGTCATGATGTTTGCATGGCGTCGGCCCCAGAGGCCTCGACCGATTCCCCGGGATCGGCTTTTCATGCTGAGTCGTTCTCTGACGGCCCCGAGGCCTGGTAAGGGCACTCAGAGGCCGAACGCTGCGCAAAACCTCCCGTCGTGATTGTTTCATGACCCGCGGGGGTCTGGGGAGAAGGCTGCTTGATGGGCTGCAGCGCTCCTGAGAAGAGGCCCCCTTGCCCTCCTGCTGGCGAGGGCTGCCCCCGCTGCCCCGCACCCTTTTGTGCGCTGACCCGCCCGTCCTCCCCCGACCTCCCCCCCACCCCTCGCCCCTCCTCCCCCTCCCAGTCCCCCTCCCCCGACCTCCTCCCCCTCCCCCTCCTCCCCCGACCTCCTCCCCAGACCTCCCCCTCCCCCCTCCTCCCCTTCCACAGTTACACACTATAAATACTACTCTCCTCTCTCCCCTGGTGACGTCCGGCAAATGTTCGCCCCCCCTGCGCGCACTGGTTTTTTTGACACAAGATTCCCGGGAAACGGGTTTTCGCTTGGTTTTTGTTTCAACGTGCTGCTCTCGCTGAAGCGCTTGCTTCCTTTTCGGGTTACCGCTCATTCCGAATCGTGCTCCCGCTGCAACGCTGGCCTTATTTACGCGCTTCCGCTCGGTCCGAATCGTGCTCCCGCTGCAGCGCCAGACTCATTTTTTCCAGCGCCGTGCCACGGCATGTTTGTCCTTCCTTCCAAATAGGCCCCCAAAATCTAAAAAATGCCCCCCCCCCCCGAAGCAACCATCGGAAGTGATTACTCATTGGTCGGAAGAAGTAGGTAGAAACATGAAGCAGAAGGCGGAATAAGCAGATTGCGTTCGGGGCCGCCCGAAACAAAAGCACAAAAACGAAACATACAAGAAGTATATTACACATTTCAGGGCCTTGTCTCAGCGGCGCGCAACGGCCCTGGGTCGCTCGGCCCCTCGGCTGGCCCCATTCCCTGGCTGGTATGTTTTTTGCCAATGTTCGCTTGTCCCGAGG